ATTTATTCTAAACTATTTATAGCAGAAATAAATATAATTTAATAAAACTTTATTTTTTTTAGTTTTAATCACGTGTATTTTTCAATAATAAATTTAATTATATGAAATTTCAATCAAACATGATAATATTTTATTGAATTAGGTTATTGGTTTACAAATGTGACGTTGAGGAGCATAAACAGTCTCTAAACACGCTTAAGTTTTACTACAGGGTTTTGGCTAGTTTTGTTTACATGTTAAAAGTTATTTTTAAACTGAAGTTAAAAGTAAGAAAAAATAAATTAAAATACGCATTTTTAAAATTGTATAGATTAAACTTATGTTTTAGGAAAAAAAAAAGTATTAGTAATAAGACAGTCTGATTTAGACCTGGAGTCAACATTGGAAAAAAAAAATCTAAAAACTAACATCTAAAAGTGTTTTTTTTTTTAATATATATAAGAAAATAAGTAAGAATTGAATAAAGGTATATCGTGAATAATGCCTAGTAAATAGTAAAATAAGAGTATATTTGTAGGTAGAGGTTAACGATATGTGTTGGAAAGGAGACAAATCCATGAGTGATGAGGAGAATGTGGAAGTGAAGAAAAGAATTGTTGAGATTTTGGCTCCCACTTCATGTTGCATGTCCCTTGGCTTCTTGGAAAACTGCACCTGCTTTGATGGGTTCAAATTTGGAACAACCATGACATGAAATGGGGGATGAAAATAGACGGATAGGGGTTTATCACTTTTTGTTTGCTTCTCGTTTCTTTGTCCTTCTTGTTTCAGATTCTAAGTCTTTTATTTCATTCCCATGTGAGTGGGACTCTGTTTGAGCTCAATTATTCATCACACTCATTCCAAACTGTCTATAATAAAATAGTGATAGATAGACGAATATAAGTAACTTAATAAAAATTATTAACATTAATAATGTTTTTTTAAGATAAGTATTCATATTTTAGTTTTTAGGAAATCTTATTATAATTTAACTTCAAAGGTTGCATTCTATATTTAGACTTTTTAATTTTTTTTCTTTTTTCATATTTTTTTTATAAAATACCATAGAATGCAACACTTCATATTTTTATCAATCTAAATAGGCGATTTTTTTTATTATTATTCAACTTTTTATTTTTATTTATATAAAATTCTAACACACACTAATGGTAGTCATCTTAAGAGTGTCCAAATTCAATATTAGAAATAATTAGGAAAACCCTCGTTAATTAGATGTGGTTTGTATGTGTTATATAGAGATTAATTATAGGCACAATTATGCATAACAAAAAAGTAGGCACAATTATAAAGACAAAAACCGACAAAATAATTTTTCTGGTGTTTCTTAATGAATATACATGGGCAGGGATATAATTTGCATTCATGTGTATCTATCTGTACATACAATAATGCAAACCATGACTTGTCACCAATTCAATAGCGACTAGTCATTTTTCGTCAATGTTTTATGCATGATTTTGAATGACACCGTCAAATACTAAGATCTTTGCCGCGAAAGGACCTTAATACGTTCTTTATTTGAAAGTTATAAATGCATATCCATCACACGGTACAACACAGCTTTCAGGGAAGAAAACAATATTATCAAATGCTTTGAAAATCGCAAAGTTTGTTCTAATGATTATCAAAATGAGTTTTTACGCCACTAAATATATCCCCGAGTATCACATTATTACTGTTTTTTTTTTTTTTTTTATTGATGCGTGTGACTGATCATTGAATCTTACGTGTTGGATGTATACTACCTGTTTGATCACCTAAATTAGAACTATGACACTATTTTGAATACTCCTCCACCAACTTGATTTTGGTCACTTAATTTTCTTATCTAGCGTCGCAAGGTTTTGATCCTGTAATGAAGTGTTTGGTGAGAACTTTATGCTATTTCAAGTAGTTAAAAAAAAAGTGTTGACTAAAAAAACCACTTGAAGTATTAGAGTAATAATAAGTGAAGGTTAGGTTGGTATCGTATTTTTATATTTTTTTTCATTTTTAATTCCTTCCCTTTTTTTTAGTTATATATATATATATATATATATATATATATATATATATTATGTATAATAAAACAAAAAAGTAATTATAATAAAAAAAGAGTCTTAGATGATATTTTTGTATTCTTTGTGAAAACATTAAGTGAATATTCATTAATCTTGTTTTGTATGTTGAGGAATCCACCTTTAAGTAAATACAAAAAAATTAAGTAACTTTACAAGAAGGTTTTGTTAGTTAACAACCTTACTATAACAGAACAAAACCCTTGAACAAAATTGTTTTTTTTAACCTTCTTCAAGCTCTGGTTATTGTGTAAACAGAAGGTTAAGCTATTTATTACTCTAGTGTGTAAAAAGAAGAAAGATAGGTGTAGAGGTTGAGACCCACACTGTGAGTAGGTTGGACGTTGAATCATATTTGCACCTTGATAACTATGTAATGCTTAATTCAGCACAAGACATAGTATTATAATTTGATGATATTATTATGATTAGATTAGGTATGGTTATATTAGGACCTACTTATGACAAATAAAGGACATGGGTCCTACCTACTCTAACTTCTCACACGCCTTGAACAAGAATAAAGTAGCCAATGAGTAATGACCATGATCATCATAACTATCTAAATTAGTTATACCGCTACACACACAAACTCTTTATTTTAGTTGCGATACAAATTCATAATTTGTACATGGTAACATAAACCTTACTTAAAACTTTGGTGCTTGATTAATGATATTGAAACTAATTAAGGTCACTATAATCCTTTCAGATTCTTACTATGGAACTATATATCAATGTCATGTACAAATGATATTCATATACCATCAACGTGTGTAAAAAAAAATATTAGTCTTTTGTGAGTTAATTTTTGAGGAACTGGGCTAAGTGGGAGTAGAGTAACTGTTGAATGATAATGGCATGGCACCACATATGAAAATCTGACACCTTAATAACAATGTTGGAGCTGAACGTCATCACTCATCACGCATCATTGATTATTCCCTGCAACACATAATTGATCTCTTCATGTATGGCCAGCTAGACCCTTATTCGAGTGTCTGGTTAATTTACTCAGTTTGTGCCTTTTCTGTGGCAATACACAATCCTGATTACACACTCTCCCTTTACGCCATTGACGTTTTTTGTGACACTGTTTTATTGTGTGTGCTATTTAGTGTGGTGTTAGGTCATTATAATCATTGTGTGGACATTTAAGAAGTACAGGTGGAGGCCTTTGGTATTGGCCTTTCCCTAGGGTTGAGTAAATTTGGGATGTCTTTAACACTACATTAGCTACCAAGCACATTTTAATTATGACTAGCCATATTTTTCAAAAATATTTCTGCCCTTAGGACAATTGTATTTGTGAAAAATAATTATAATAAGCGGATTTTTTTTATTCATGTAACGAGTCTAAGAAATATAATCAATCCAAATTTCAAAACATTTCAATCAATTTTTTTAATAATTTTAAAAATATATATAATTCAATTAAGACTATCATGATTTTTTTTTATAAAGAACAATAATATATGATTATATTTAGATTAAAATTTTAAAGATTAAAAAAAAAATTCAAAATCGTACTATTTGTTGTGAATTGTTTTGTTAATTGAATATTATAAATTTTGTTTGACTTGTATCTGTATATAGAAGTATCATGCTCATAAAATAACCTCACTCTATATACTTGAGATTTTTCTACTTTTATTAGACATTTCTTAATCTCCGGAGATTTTAAACTTTTTTACATCCAATTTGGCTGTTATTGTTATAATTATATATGATTGTTCAATCAAGGAAAATAATATATTTTTTCTTTTTATGATTTTCCTTTTACAGTCATATTATTCTAGGATGTACTGAAGTTTTAAGCATTTATCTTGTAATTAAATTTCAATAACATAATCTAGACTTATTTAGGGTTAATAAATGTTTGAAAATATAGATTTTATAATTATAATGCAAAATAACAAACAATTGAAAAATAAAAAAAATGTTGAAACATAGAAAAGTTATCTTATCAAATATTCATGTAAAAATAAGATAAATTAAAACTTAGTTTTTATTTTTAGTATTATATTATATATTAATAATCTTACTATTAAAGAATATATATATCACTAAGAAAAGTTCAACAGTCTTACAGATATCCTAATAAAACTTTTTTACTGTACAAATTAGAGAAGCTATTTAAGATCAAACTTATAAGTAATTTCAAATTAATAAAAACAAGAACTTTTAACTAATAAATAAGATCAAACTTATAAGTAAGTTATATAAATTTCAGTTTGTAAAAAAAAAAAACTCAATTAGTAAAAAAGGTGGCCATTTTTGAATATCATTAACCAAACCTGCATTAAGAGATAAACTTAGAAAAGAACAATTAATTTATTAACATGTTAAACTACAGACATTTAGATTCATTTAACCTTAAGGTTGAAAAAATAAAATATTTGAGGAAAAAAGTTAGGTTGGTAGACTTTTATTAAGATGATATAAAATAATGGAGTTCCAATTCCACATATGACCAGGGATGGTAATACTAATTTTAATATAATCACTTAAGCATGAAATTAGGAATTCCCAGTTACGTGGCATTAATTAACTTATTTGGAAATCAGAAGTCAGCACCATGGAAACAAACAAACCCGACCAGCCTTTGAGTAGAGTGAAAAAAAAGGAGAACATAATAAAATAAATAAAAATAAAAACAAAAAAAATAAAAAAACACTTCACAAACCAAACCCCATCCCCATCAACAGAACGACACCGTAGTTCAGCAACTGTTATCGCTTAAGTAACCAGAAAACGACACGTCGTTTCTGTCTTCGCCTTCGCCTTCACTCTTTGCAACTGCACATCGATAAAACCGTTCTTCCCATCCCACTCCCTCTCAAAACGAACTAAACTCACCGGCGATGTTCACGGAAATTCCACCGGCTCCACCACCGAAACATTAACTGATCCTTCGCCGGAACTGTCACTGTAACCACAATGTCGTCGTCCCCGCAGAGCATAAAGCAGAGAGTCTTTGCATGCCTCACCAAACTCTCCGACCGCGACACGCAGTCTCTCGCTGCGGTGGAACTCGAATCCATCGCTCGGTGCCTCGACGCAGCAACCTTGCCGGCGTTCCTCTCGTGTATGTACTCCACTGACGCCTCCGACAAGCCACCGGTCCGAAAGCAATGCGTGCAGCTCCTAGGGTTCCTTGCGGAGACTCACGGGAACATCCTTGCGCCATACTTGTCTAAAATTCTCGGCAGCGTCGTGCGGAGGCTCCGCGACGCGGACTCTTCGGTGCGATCTGCGTGCGTGACTTCGGTTGCGGCATTGTCGCATCACGTCAGCAGGCAGCCCTTGCATTCGTTCTTGAAGCCGTTGGCGGAGGCGCTGTTCACGGAGCAGGACCAGAACGCGCAGGTTGGCGCGGCGCTGTGTCTCGCCGCCGCGATCAACGGAGCTCCGGATCCGGATCCTGCCCGGCTGGCGAAGCTCCTGCCGAGGTTCGAGAAGCTACTGAAGCGCGACGGGTTCAAGGCGAAACCTGCGCTGTTGACGCTCGTGGGAAGCGTCGTCGCGGTCCGCGGCGCTTCCGGTCACGCGCCAATGAAGAGTTTGGTTCCGTGCTTGGTGGAGGCGTTGAGCAACGATGATTGGGCCACGCGGAAGGCCGCAGCGGAGACTCTCGTGGTGGTCGCCAGAGTGGAGAGAGATCTCTTGTCGGAGTTCAAGGCTGAGTGTGTGAGAGTTTTCGAGAATCGACGGTTTGATAAGGTTTGTGTGAAGGAATTTTTATACATTTTTTTTGCGTTTATGTTTATTTATGGTAATTTGAAAGTGAATTAGAGTGGGTGGTGTTTTGTTTAGGTAAAGTTAGTTCGGGACGTTATGAATCAGATGTTGGAAGCGTGGAAGCAGATTCCTGATGTTTCGGATGAAGTTTCGCCACCTCCTAAATCCCAATCTTCTTCTAAAGGTAATTTGATTTTGCCGTTTTGTTTTTTTAGTGTTAATTGGAGAATCTGTGACAGGGGAGTGTTACCGAAAATACCGATCATGTTATGTTCGCTGCTGTGACTTTAAATAGAACACATGATTAGATAAATTAGAGGCAAGGGGAATAAGGTGATGATCAATTTGAGGCTGTTCGATCTTCAGATGAATTCAGAATTTTTGTCTGCTATGATTTACTGCATGTTTCGGAACTCGTTAAAAAATAAGAAATCATGTCTCAGACGTGGAAGCTATGACCATTAGCTTCTATGTGAATGTGAAAAATCACAGTATCTATTTGAGTCGCCATCTGGCAACTTGCCCATGTATCTATTTGGCTTTATGATTAATTTGTTGCGTTGCATTGTCTTTGACTGTTTTTCATTTCTGTTTTCTTTCTGGGCTTGTTATTGGTTCAGAGAATGCAAGTGATGGACGCCATCCTGCTGTCTCTCAAAATTCATGTAGTCCTGGTTCAGTGATGGCCAATCTGCGGAAGAAAACTACACCTTTTAGCAGATTCAGTCCAGCGGATAGTTCTTCTGCTAGCAATGCTAAGAATAGGACTGCTTCAAGTGGCAACAAGAGAATGAGTTCGATTGTTTCCCGAAAACTAAATCATAAGAATTGGGATACTCAAGTTGCCGTGGCTGATCAGGGAGATCTTCAGGAGGTGGATGGAATTTTGGAAAGAGGCAAAATGGATAAAAGCAAAATTTCAAAACCAGAAATGAAAAGGGCACTGCTAAATAGAAGTTCTGACGATAGAATACACAAATATGGTGGGTCCAAGGCTGGATCTCGTGTAGTTCCATATCATGAAGAAAGTCAAGACTCAGTTCCTGTCAGTGTTGTCCCTAAAGATCTCTATAGAAATGACAAAGAGAGTGAAGATTTATCGCTGATCCGTGATCAGTTACATCAGATTGAGAAGCAGCAGTCAAGTCTACTCGATCTTCTGCAGGTTTGTTCCTAATGCTTAACACCAAATTCCCTCAATAAATTATTTTGCCTGTGCTGCTTAATTCTGCAATAGGAAGGCCGGTTAATGCTGTCCTTGTGTTCAAACTTCATCCTTTTTCTCTCCTTTTATGTACATGTAGCATTTGTGGCAATTCTATAATGACAAACATCTCCAACATGCTCATCCATGTTGTCACAGAAATTTATGGGAAGCTCACAAAATGGAATGCGTTCTTTAGAGACTCGTGTGCATGGTCTTGAGTTAGCATTGGATGAGATCTCTTATGATTTGGCTATATCAAGTGGAAGGATGACTAAGTCTGATGTTCATGGCAACACATGTTGCATGCTACCTGGAGCAGAATTTTTGAGCTCCAAATTCTGGAGGAAAACACATGGCCGGCATTCAATCCCGCGGTTCTCCAGATCAGGTGGCACCCCATCACTCGCTGCCATGAACTACCAAGCCGACAGGAATGCAGAGACCAAGTTGACAAGCCACAGATTTAGGCCTGATGGAGGTTTTATCACTAATCCACTCGCAGAGATTCATGCAGATTCAAGGAATTTTGCTACATCGGATATAGTTTAAAAGCAATTTAGCTATCTAAATGCCTCTAAACAAGGCATGCAACTTTTATCGCGGCTACTATCGCTATTCAGCATGCAATTTTTAGATTAATAAAGTACTAATTGATGCCACTCTAACTCGTTTACTCTCTTTCATAATTCCATATTTCTTATTTTCTTGCAGATGTGCTGTATCATCTAGAATGCAAGTTTCATCTTTTGATTCTCCCTCAGTATGGAAGGACCCCCCTTGATTTTGATCTAAATTTGTTATGCCACTCGAGAATATTCCATTTAGTCTTGTTCCAGGTGAATAAGGCGTGAGCGGGCTAGACCATACATTACCATACATTTTACGTGGCAGCGCAGAATTTCATTTGCATATTCGTGATAAATCTTTGGACAAGAACAGCATATTGGAGTGAGTTGGCAGCTTAATACCATACTATTTTAAGTAACGCTGAATTTGTATATGTACAGAGGAGTGACAGGCTACTTATTTTTTGATTTTATGATTAAGTATTGCGTTGTATAATGTATTCGAGTCATGTTAAAGGTTCTCTACACTGGCATGCATTATCGGCATTTCATCATTAGTCTATTATTCTTCTTCATGTGCCCTCTATTATCCATTTTGTTCGGCTACTTTCCCGGTTAGTCAAGGTTAGGCCTTTAAAATATTTGGAAGAGAAAGGATCCAATAAGATTATTTCTCTTGTGCAAACCCCATCCCACCGCTTTCTAGGTTATCGCTTCAATAGTTGGACTACTAAATTTTTCTACTAGTTTAAAAACTAAAAATCATTTTACTAATTACTGATTTGATTCCTTTGGATATTTTTTAAAAGCAAATATTACTAATACACAAATATTTCTTAAAAACAGATTTAACATGAATATAAGGCTGAAAAATTGAAAAATATTTACCTTAAAAGGCATTTTAACGCAAGTATTTGCTATTTATCACAAAATATCTCTTAAAAAGGAATTATTTTCCTAAATAGAACATGCATGTATTTACATTATAAATGAATATAAATGTAGAAATAAATAACATCATTTCATAAAATAAATAGATAATGTCTATTTTTCTTGTTTGATAAATTATTATTTTTTATTAATTATTGTACCTTTAGACTTTATTAAAAGCCACTTTGGATAAATTACATTGACCAAGAAAAATAATTAATCCATCTTATTTTTTAATTTTTTTACTAATCTTATAATTTTTTTTAACAGAGATACATAGAGCAATGCAATTAATTTTATTTTACTTTTTAAAAATTCTTTTATACAATGGAGAGCCAGAGGAAGTATTGGACAAAATATGCATTACCTTATATATTTTTTAAATCTTACAAAATTAAGTTTAATTAAATCTTACAAAATTAGTTTATTATATACACGTAAATGATAGAGAATCTCAAATATCTATGACAACCATTAAAAGCGCCTTGGGATAGAAGAAATCAAACCCAGTCCAATTCATGATTTTCTCAAGCTTCTTTACAAAATAATCTATCTGCATCTAAACTCCAAGGAAATGTACCATGAGTGTGTATTAGAATACCAACTCTTCAATTAGAAGATGATATTGCTTCCATGATGGATTTCCATGTACAATATCTTACCTGAATTCAGTGAAACTGCATACGAAGGCAGGAATAAGTGATAATATGGGAATGTTAAAAGCTTGTTTCTTTTACTCTACCTGAATCATGATCATTACTCCAACCCCAAGAAAGCAATATTTCTAATACCCTAGACCCTTTTCATACCTATTAGATTGCTTTAGTCACTCTGATTGTAACTTTTAGCTTAAATACTTCAAACAAATAACTACTTAAAAGAAAGGAACTTCAATGGTGGTGATTACGCACAAATTCTTATGATACTATAAACCTTAAACTGTACGAAAATTCTCCCTTCCTGGATTTGGGAATTTGACTTGCAGTTTGTGTTAATACTGGGAATACAAAAGAAGAATTTTAAGTGCACAAGAGAAAACAAATGTAGAATCTTTTCTTTTGTCCATAAGTTAAAATTAACTTATGAGCAAATTAAACATAATTTTTTTAAATATTACAAAAAAGAACTTTTACAAATGAATTTATACATAAATTGATTTTAACTAACAAAAAAATTATATTTCTTTTTATATTTTTTAAATCCTTTTAAAAAAGCTTGTCAAACAATCTTTAGGCTACAAATGGATAAAGTCTCTTCCCAGCAAAATGTATAGAAAGTTGATTTTTTGATATACTGATCTTGATTTTTTCAAGATAAAAAGATATAAAAAGATGGAAAGGTTAAATATGTAATATATAGATAATGAGATAATTAATTATGTGATAAATCTTAAAAAAATATATTTCCAATGTTGGCACCATGGGGAGAAAAAACACGTCTAAACAATAACTATTTGACTAAGTCAGAATTACAAGATTGAAAATTTCAAAATACAAGACTCACTTGTAAAGTGCCCTAAATATTATATAACCATAGCAGAAATTCCAATGTCAAGGCCATTCAAAGAATATAGTAGAAGATATAACAAAATACACTTGTGTTATTGTCAAGTATTAACCAGCAATTTTACTAGCTAGACTCGCTTATTATCTATCTGCTTACATTTTGGTTTGGAGATATTTCAATGAAGGCCGAATACGCCAATACCTGATGACCTGTGCTGTTGGTGGCCCTCTCTTTCTTCCATTCAGTAACTACAAATATCATAAATCACACATTTAATAAGATAAATTGTGAGTTATAAATTGATTAAATAATCAGCTGTTCAATTTATAAAATCAAGATATATGTAAATAAAATGATGAAATGATCACATTCTTAACAGCTGATATTTTAATAAACTTAATAATTTTAAACTTAATTCACTTCATATTATTTTATTCATCACGTGTAAATTTGACATTGAAAAAAATACACATATTTGCTTAAATTATTAACTTGAAAGAAAAATATAATAAAAATAGGTTAAATATCAAAACGATAAAAAGAAAAAAAGTCGAGAGTTCTAACCATACAGATGAATTGTAAGTCATAATAACAGTTTACACAACCCTTATGTTCAACAAAATATATAATTTTTATTAAAATTTAAACGTAACCAGATAAAGCTATCTACAGCCAGACTAGACAAGCGGTGATTGAGACAATCCGAGAAAAAGCTAAAAAAAATGGAATAATACAACTTTAACTTAATAGGAAAAAATGTTTGTACAAAACTTAAATCATGTTACTTGAATCCTTGCTATCAAATCCCCGTTAAAAAAATGATATGTAAGACTTTTTTTTCCAATAATAAATAACAATCGTTAAATGAAAGTAACTGAATTTTGAAAAACAAATAATGTGTCTAAAAATAATCACAAAACTTGATATAAATTTTATCTAAAAAATTTATCCCAACAAATGTAAAAAATAAAATGACGAGCTTCACAGTAAACTAGAATACGAATAAAAAAACTAGACTGCAAAATAGCCAGTCAACATTCTTAATACTAATGCGTTGGTAATAATTAAGCTGGTATTAAATAAGTGTTAATCATATACATATTTAAAAATAAAGTAAATTATTTTTATGCAAGTTGTAAATCATTACTTATTTTCTTAAACTCACCAAAATAATAGTGTGTTATAAACTCGAATAAGATATAAATAAGCTCTGTCAAACATTCTCTTAATGAATCAAAGCAAGACATCAAGCTTGACTGGTAAAAAGAAATACTCATATATGACTCAATTCTGAAAAAAAAAAAATTACTCATTTATTTAGCCAAACGAAACTAATATTTAAACACAGTTCCACTGGACCAAGTTTATGGAAAAATAAACAAATTAGTCGTAGTTAAACTTTTCAAAACTTGAACTTGACACAAACATCAACTCAACTCATTAGCTTGTTTATGACTTGATTTTATATTTTTTTTACCTTAAATTAAATTTTGTTTATTGATTTAGCAGCTGACAAATAAATTCATGCTAAAAACTAAAGTAAAACTATAATAAAATATAGTTTTAAATTCTATAATCATAAAAATAACCTAAGATTGATTAAGAAATCTTTCACGATAAATGGAGGACTTTGAAGAAAATGCAAACTAATTCATTTAAAAAGGAACTCTCTCTCTCTCTCTCTCTCTCTCTCTCTCTCTCTCTCTATATATATATATATATATATATATATATATATATATATATATATATATATATATATATATATATCTTAGATGTTAATGAACATCAAATAAAATTCTCAAATTAATAGAATAAATAAAAATACAACTATCTAAGTGACATTTATATACATTCAAATCGTATTAAGTAAAAACCATTATTATTGTATGAAATGAAAATTATAAATATAAGTCAGATAACCATATATAAATTATCAAAATTAGTTAGTACTTAAATAACCAATTAAAAAAATCATTATGCATTTTTCTCTCAATATTGACCATTCTAATATGATCTAATAGACTATGGCTGTAGTTCATACTTCTCATTTATCATCCGTGATATGTTTCTCTTTCTATATATGTGCGTGTGAGGGAGAGTTAAACAAATATAAAACCTACAAAATTTAGATGAGACTCATTTAACTATCAAGCCTAATTATATGCTTTCATTTATCTGTCTATAATGAGCATCTAATGAGATGAACTAACTCATAATTCACCGACATCTACGGTGATTTACACCCCTAATCGATATAACTCCATTATCTACCATCGTAAATGGCCAGAAGTAGATTCCGGGAAGTCTTCAGAAACGTATAAAACAAAAACAAATAATACTGTATCAGCCCAATCTATCAAAAACCATTATCTACTACCTTTGTTTATTTGCAGGTTATTACTCATCATTAGCCATTCAATTATTGATCAATGAGGTGAAAAATTATAAGAAAGAAACTCACATTATATTTCTACACAACATGATTTGAAATTTAAGAAGGTGGGCTTATGAGACCAAATCACGGTGCCTTCTCTTCAGCCTCTTGCTCGACAAGTTTCTACAGAAATGCACCAACGTGACCAACATTAGGTAAAGTCTTAAATATATATCTGCTCGAGTACAATTGCCTGTAAAATCATGGCATCATAAAAAAATCCATAATATCAATCCAATACACAGAAACTAAAATTTAAACTACATTTTGCCAGCAACCGATGACACGAGATTTAAGATTACAACCAAAATAATCATTACACAATGCATTGCAGAGACAATTGTTGAAGATCGAATAATCAGAATATCAGAACAGACAACAGCATCATATAATACGAAACAACAAAATAAATTATGCCCCTCCCTATCCTCAAAAAGCTACAAAATACGTTTAAAAAATTGAATAAACACGAAACAGGACCTCTCGACGAAAAGTAAACAACAAAACACGATGTTAGCTTATAGGCAGAGAATTGAAGCAGGAAACGTTAACCGATTGGACACAACAATCGATTGATATGAATGGCGTCCAACAAACAGTTTCAATTATAATTCATAGGCACAAACCATAAAACCGAGATTGATCGAAGCAAGGAATGTAAAATACCGATTCTAAATAAGCAGAGTAACACATTGATAACGGAACATAAAAGAGAGAGAGGAGTACGGTTTGAGCATTGTGCCAAGAGAGGCCTCTGTAAACGTTGACAGAGAAGGTTGCGGTGAGGTAAATGGTGGTGAATCCAAGAGTGGCGGTGAAAGCCTTGAAAGCATAATCCCCAACCTTACCTGCTATTCCCATTCTCACACAACTGCACTAACTAGGGTTTACTCACTTCCCGCACTATTGCCTGCTCCTTCTATTTATATACCCTTTTCCTTGTGAAACAGGCAGAAATAAGGAAATATTTTCATAATTATTAACAAATTAAAATGTTTTTCAAATAAAAATATTCCTATTGACATATTTTATTTATTTTTTAAACATAAATATCAGTTTAGTTTAGTTTAAAATATACTTTTTAATGTTTAGGGATAAGTATTTCTTTAAAATAAATTAATTCCAATAATTTCTAAACAGTCCTTTAAAATATTTATATAAATCATGGACAATTGTTCTATGTATTAGTTTAAAATTTATATATTATTTATTGTTTTTGTTAGATAGATTGTAGGCTTAATATATATTTAATGTATGACGTGTTCATTTAATTACATAATTAGTATTTATATTATTTTTTATTAAATATAAATTTACTTGATGTATTTATTCTTCTAAAAGAATATTTATGACAAGAAAAATAATATTTAAATAATAAAATTTAAAAAGGAAAAACATTCGTCAAGTTAAAACATAACAAAAAAAATACATTAAATACATTAAGGATGGAAGGAATTCAAAAAATACTAAAAAGTCTGTGTTGTCCTAGTGTTAGTTACAAATAATAAAGTGATGTCTTGAGAAAATAAAGAAAAAATATTATGTTAATAAACATGATTAAATATTTAATATTTATCAACTAAAAATAATATATTTAATGTATGGATTAATAAGTTTCTTCCATTAGTTAAAGTTCCTTTAAATTAAGATAAGGGATGTTAAAAGAAAAAATAAGATAAAGTAACGACTATTTTAAATTAATAGAAGTAATATCAATTATTTTTTTAAATAAAGAAGAATAAATATTATATACATTAAAAACATTATTTCAAACTATTTTCTATTTATTATATTTTATTATAATGTATAGTTCATTTGAGACATAAACATCAAGTTATTAATGTTTAGTCATTTGTTAATACTTTATTCTTTTTTAAAGTTATTATTAATACCAATATATGCAAAAATAAAAATAATCTAAGTAGTTTCCCATTCAAATCCTTGAAAATTTCGCTACTACCTGGATTGTATGGATAAGATTAATATCACGAGAATAATAATTGATGAGTATATTCCATCTTATTAAGAGAGTCTTTTATATGAATTATTAGAAGTATGAGACACTTCCTCCCATCCCTTTACTATTTAATTATTTAATATTTTAATTATGTCTTAGCATTTTAATTATTTCTTGACCAAATAGTCTCTATAGGCCAAATGAGTTTTGTTATTTTTGGTCTGGTGGATTTTCTTTCTAGTCTTATTCATTTTTCAACTCAAATAAATTTTATATTCTTTGTCGAGCTCGAATTTTGTTGATATTCTCAACTATTCATTATTTTTCTTGTATGTGTTGGTGTCGGAGTTTGTATTTAAGATTTTAGTATTATCAATAATTATGATAAATAATATGATGATAAATGTAGACCCCAAATTTTGTCCGACTTAAAAATAAAAAGCAGAAGACTTCCGTTTGAACAAGGCCTAAAAGGTCCCTAGGATTGTTCAATAGGCTTCATATTAGAATATGAAGGATTTTTGTAAAAAAAAAAAAAGAAATTCCACTCAAAGGGTCGAGACCGTCGTCTCGTTTGACGAGACGACAGTCCCGACTCCGACAGTGCGAATTCCTATAAAAGGGGAGACTTTCTCACTCTTTTCACACACTTCTACAACTTTTCCTACTGTACTACTCTCAAATTACTCTCCTAGGACCCCTCTGAAGTATTTCCAAAGTTTCTTAGAGTTCTTAGAAAAGCGTTCTAGAGCGCTGCGAGAAAGAACGATCATCATTGTAGAGCATGAGGATTACCAAAAAATACCATCTTTCAAGAACATACTATAAAAGCTTGATTCGAAGGTTCCTATATACTCTTTTCTCTATTTTATTACTTTTTAGATAATATCGTTGTGCATTAGTCATTTAGGGCCATGTAGTCAATAACTTATTTTCCACAATGAATAAATAGGGGTAAAAGTGCAATTTTATAGTTATTATTTCTTTATAAAAATGGTTCATCATAAGGAACCCGAAAGGGGCGTCGTAGGGAAGCTAATACCTTCCCTACACGTAACTAACTCTCTTACCTAACTCTGGTTGTAATGACCAAAGTTGGTTTTTCTTAAAAAACCATTGTCTTCTTTTTTCCTTTTCCCATATTTTTGGTAAAAACATTGGTGGCGACTCCTCGAACCTTTCGAAAACCTCGCTTTTAGGTCCAGCCCAGATATAGGACAACCTAAAAAGCGTTGAACCACACTTTTAAAAACGCGAGTCAAACAAAACCATTGCATCGCTCCTACCGCCTCTTTTGACGGTGACGACAGATGGCGACTCCACTGGGGAAGCTAGAGAGTTGATCTCATTTAGTAATGGACTAGTTTTAAGAAATAAAACTTAAAATTGTGCCTTTACCCTTCTTTGTTTTATAACATGTTTTAATTGCTTGACTTTAATAACTGTTGTATGTTTATGCAAATTGTTTGAAATACAAACTGTACACAAATCCTTACACACAACAATTCCCCTTATACCCGGCGACAAGTGGGATAACCTTAGGGAGTGAGTGACATTGTACGATTTGCCGTAGTGAGGGCCATGAGCCCACCGGTATGGTCGGAAACCACCACTCAAGGTAAGTTTCCTCTTTTGGCCCAAATACTGACTAGACCCTAGTGTCATGCATGGTCTAAAGGCTGAGAGAGTGAGAGCCCTATAATGGGGGCACCTTTGTTAGAATCGCGCAACATAATGTTTGCATTTATGGACAAAAACCAAGAGGGGGGTGAATTGGTTTCTTAAACAAAAATTAGGGTTTTAAAAATTTTCCCAAATTTCACCATTTAAAATGCTTTGTAAAGTAAATAGATAAGGGAAAGAAGATTACACAGTTGATTTATACTGGTTCGGATCAAAAGACCCTACGTCCAGTTGCTAATCACTTAAATAGAGGATTAACGCTGTCACTATAATCACAGTTTTACAACAAATTACAAATTGAAAAGATAAGGAATAGAAAACACCTCTCTTGAGTCACACAAGAGATGAACACCTCCTTTGAATCCACAAAGGATGAACAATAGATTTTCCTAGAGATGGCACAACACACAATCCACCAAGAAACCCACTCAGTGATTCTTATCGCTTCTAGCTCATACTAGGTTTTCAAAAGCCCCTTTTTCTTCCCTACAAAAAGTTCTCGCAGTCACAACTCTTAACTTTTGTATGAAAAAGGTTTGTTAATTTGCAGAGAGCCTTAGAGAACCTTAAGTAGAGAGAACAGGGTCTGAGAAATGATGATTTTCGAAAACATAAGAATTAGGAATAGGATTTTCGTAAATTGGTCCAGATTTGAATTTTAAAACTCATAACAGACGTAAATAATCGATTATCTTGAGTGATAATCGATTATTTCAGAGCCATTTTCGCAGAGGAGCAAAACAGGACCATGATAATCGATTATTTGGCTGAATAATTGATTATTTGGCTGGGATAATCAATTATCCTAAGTGATAATCGATTATCACAGTAAGCTTTTCATAAAAACAATTTTCAGTCTGTGATAATCGATTATCCTGAGTGATAATCGATTGTCACAGTGTATTTTTGATAAAAATGAGCTTTTAGAGGTTTTAGAGGATGAACTATGTGCTGACTATCTTGGACTCTAATTTTACAGACTCAAAAACGTAAAACAGAGTTATTACAAGTAAATACACATGATTACAAGTCTTCAAATCTCTAAGTCCTTTGTCTTTGAATCATCATCAAAATCTTCAATCTTCATATCCTTGTATGTTTAACAATCTCCCCCTTTTTTATGATGATCAAATTTTTTTTAAAGCCCTTTGTAATTAATAACCTGTTTTATCTGTCACAACTAACAAAACTATTAAACATACCAGACATCATTAAAATTATTAAACATAAGAGGCTTTAAATCAAAAATGAAAACTCCCCTCAATAAATGCATAAGATAGAAAAATAGCTCTCCCTCAATCAAAGCAAAAATAAAGTTTTTATTCATTAAAGCAAATGAAGTACAAACAAGAAATATGTTGAAGAGATTAGAACTCTTCACTCTCATCACTATTAAACTGGGCGTCAAATCTATCTTCTAAATTACACACTCGATCGTCTACATCCAAAATGCGTCTAATAATTTCTTGATGCCGTTCTTGAGATATAGAGAAAAATTCCTGCATTCTCTGATTCATGTCGAACAACATATCTTCCATGGAAGGGTGGGATGTAGGGTGAGCAGCAGATGATGTTCCAGCAGTATGAACATTATTAGCAGGCATATCAGCAGTAGGCATGTCCTCATCATCAGAATCTTGAGTCACGTTAGCCATGTGAGGAGCATCATCTTTATGAACGTAAACTCCGTTTACATTCACCATTTGCAGCTGAGTGAGCGTGTCGTCCAACATTCTGTTTGAATTAAGTGTCCATGCCCGTTGTTCCCCTTCAACATTTACACCTTTGTACTCAAGAATCCTGGAAATGAAGAGAGCGTAAGGAATCTTGAAGGTTGGGTGACACTTCGCCCTGAGCATTGTTAATGTGACTAGGCTTGGCCAATCAATGGACTCATTATTCATGATGACATGGATAATGCGAAGGTCAGCAGAAGAACATTAGGCATGGTTGGTTGCCCAGGGATAGAATCCATACAAGAAGATGTAGCACCAGACGTTCTTCTTTCTTCAAAGGCCCGACCAAAAGTTGGTGGCCAATTTCCATGGCAGGGTTGCGGAGAAAAGAACGATATGCCATAATGCGATTAAAATCTTCTAAATCAGCAAGAACATTTACAGCATCCTCCCTTAAATATCATCATCAAGGATGATGGTCACACCCTTGACTCTAGAGGTAGCAATGTGATCCCTATATTTAAAGCGAGAGTAGAAAACCCGAA